ATTATAAAACCAATTCTCATTGCAGCATGTAGAGAGATTGAAAAGGATCTTATGCCAAATTCAGTAGTTCATATACTTGGCGGCGAACCCGTAGCCTTTGCAGAGTATCCACATGTGGCTAAAATTGTCTATGACACAGATGACGTGACGTGCGGTGGTACATTGATCGATAAACGTTTCGTTCTGACTGCAGCTCACTGCATAGAAACGAGGGGCAGTAAAGCTTTGAAAGTCATTTTGGGTGTAACGGACTTTAATGATGCCGAACAATGGCAAACGCGACTCGAGGTGGATATTAAGGTGATTGTTGTAAATATTTTTTTTTTTTAAGAAGTAGAAGTTTGTAAGTTAATAAAAAATAATTTTTTTATGTAGTTCATACTTAACTGAAAATATATAAATCAATATTTCAAACTTTGCTTAAAATTTAAAAAAGACATCAAAAATTATAAGCTTAAAAAAAATTTAAAAATTCATCAAATTTCAACAAAACTTTAAACTTTTTAATTAAAATGCTTAAGAAATTTTCGAGTATGCAGTTTTATAGTCCGTTTAATTTTAGTATAATAAAGTGCAAGTTTGATGTAGCTCAAAATTTTGGTTGATGTTTTACAACTTTTTTTTCGTAGGATCCGCACAAGACCGTCGCAAAAAAAAATCGCAAACCCCAACAAGAATTCTAGCTTGCCCAATATTACTCTAAATTTGAATCGGCTATAAAACTGTAATACGAAGCTTTCTTAAAATTTTTTGTTAAAATGTTTGAAAATTTTATAAATTTTTCAAAACTTTGTAAACACTATTTATTATTACTATTACTATTTTATAATATAAACTACAACTAGTGTATATTAATTTTATTTTTTTTTTTACAAAATTCTACCTCAATTAAAAAAATAGTGGAGATAAGTTATTCGTGACCGCCCATTTATATACATATGTACTTATTTCCCTCCCTTTACATTGCAGGCCACCTACGTACACGAGAACTATTCAAGCTTTTTCAATTATTTTGATATTGGCTTGATTGAATTGGCTAAAGATGCTGCCTATAGTGTCAAGGTTTATCCAACTTGCCTGCACACTGATCTTACGGATCTGCCAGAGAACACCGAACTGATTGTGACCGGTTGGGGAGTCACCGAAAATAAGAGTATGCCACATTTATGAAATTTGATTTTTATATGAATTAGATTTTTCATTGGATATATTTTATTCGTTTTATAGCAACTTCAGCTCGCTTGTTGGCAGCCAAACTGAATGCGGTAACGCTTGCACAATGCAACATTAGCTATGCCGATCAGATGGATCGTCATTTACTTCATGGCATTGACGAGACACAGCTTTGTGCGTTTGCTCCGGGGCGAGATGCTTGTTGGGGTGACTCAGGCGGTCCATTGCATCTAGTCAAAGATAAATCGTTTGGCAATTATAGAGTTGTTGGTGTCGTTTCGTTTGGTTTACTTTGTGGCACAAAGTTACCCGGTGTCTATACTAGGGTGGCGGAATTTTTGGACTTTATCGAAAGCATTGTTTGGCCGGATGGCTGATGACTTTATAATATACGATGAGATATGTATACATATACATATGTATGTACAAAAATTTTACTTGGCTAACTTATACATTTTTATAAGTGATTTCCATGACTATATCTAGATTAAGTAAATATTTATATTTTTGAAAGCAAATGAAGATAAATACGACGATAAATATGTGGACTTTCATTCAAAATGAAGTAGTAGTTTACCTAATTCAGCAAAGATGTTATTTTTCTTGAAGAATAAACACAGTGTCATAGTAGACATTTCTATTATTCGGCTTTGTTTATTTGTACTTGAGAAAAGTCAATGCCGCCGAGAATGCGCAATTTGATATTCTATAATTCTTGGGTGTGGTACCGTCAACGCTACAGCAACTTTGGTCTGGTGGAGTGATCTACAAGTAAGAAAGCTAAATTAATTTGAAGTGCAATAAATTTGTGGTTTGTGAACACACCTGACCACGTTCAAAATTTATTGAGCAACAGTTTTTTTTAAAAATAGCAAAAAAATTTTAATAAAAAATATTGTATATCGATGGATTTTTTAATCCAGTGAAATTAATTTATGTTTAAAACTTTTTGTTTCTTTCTTGAAAAATAATATATAAGAAAAAAAATTATTTTTTGTTATCTACTGCAAAAAAAAAAATTTTGGTACTCTAAAAATCGGTTAGGTACGTTCTTTTTTTGGTAGGGTAAAAAATTTGTGAGTGACAACACTACTCGCAACCCGCTGGTGGTAGCAGAGGGAGGCCGCCACTGCGACGGAAAGACCAAGTAGAGGAGTACTTGGCTTCACTTGACGTTTCCAATCGGCTTGAGTTGGCTCAGAAGAGGAGCGACTGGCGTGCTACAGAGTAAAAGAAGAATATTTTCAGAAGCTTTCGTTTCAACGGTTAACACTTTTCATTCAATTCGAGCTCTTTATAAATGGCCCATATAACAACACCGAGAGTTATTTATGCTGTAGCACAGTGTTTTTCAATTCAATCTTACTCCTCTGTTTCAAGTAGTCAAAAATATCAATCGATCAAGAGACAGATCGGTTGTCTCAGTCTTCGCGCTGCATTGGAGCGAGAGAGTCGTAATTTTTTCTAGCAAAGTAATTTCGTTAATTCAAAAGCGGCTAACTCTTCGAAAATTGCAAATATTTTTGTACAAAAAATTTTGCTTTAACAATTGCAAACATACATAAGTGCACTTTCAATATACAGATAAATTAATTTTTATAAAAATCCAATTGAAAATGAAAGCAGCCGTAGTTGGCGTAGGTGAAAAGGCTTCAATCTGCGCTCGCAACTCAAATAAAGCTAAATAAATACATATAGACGATCAGTGATCTAAGCTATGTATACATATATGGACATAAACAATTAAGCTGACTTTGCATTCTTAGCGACGCTCCAAAAAGCGGACGCAAGCAATTAACAAAGTGCCAAGTGAGCAACAAATGGTGTAAGATAGATTATACTCGTATGTGCATATATGTCAATAGACATTTCCGACAGCTATTATTTAAGCTGAGAGTACGCCGAACAGCGTCTTTTAAGTTGCGAATTCATTCTCTGTAGGGGCTGAGCTCAAAAAAAATAGTTTTATTATTTTAATTTGCCGCGGTGATAAGATACGATTTTCTTTGCACTGCAGATTTGTTTAGTAAGCTTACGCTCTTCCCTTCCACGCGGCTCAGAAACAATAATGTTTATACCGTCCCTTGCATTGAGACGCGCAGCGAAATTTCGGATTCACGTGCTTGTATTAATAACTGCATTTTTTCGCATTTCGAATGCAATTCCGGTACCAGCCTCTAGAGGAACGGGCGCGGATGGTAAGTAAAGGAAGGGGAAAAAAATACACATAAAGTTGCATCACATTGAAAAAGAAAAAAAATTATGCGATAAAAGAAAGATTATTTGGGAAATGTTTAGTTATTGGCCCATCGTTTTTGGGGTGGGGGGCGGAGGGAGAGGGGGCGTGGCCCCCCAAACCCCCCTCATTCGAAAGGGGCCAGTCGCCACTTTACGAAAAGCCCCACCCCCCCTTGGGGACCTCCCACAGACCCCTAGGGAACCGTTTGAAAATGGGGTAAAAACGGCATTTTCCGAGGCAAACTGAGCAGTTTGAAGTGGAATATAACCCAACTAACAGAATCTGTGGGGTTTTTAAATAAAAGAAGTTATCCCAAGGTGGTTATCAGGCGAAAAAAGGAGGGCTAAACACCTTTCGCAGAGAACACCTTTGTGCGTAGGCGGCCTTCGGCCGCACTTAGGGATTATAACCCTCAGGCAGTAGAATTCTCCTTTCTGTGTAGCCAAAGAAGGGGGGCTGAACACCTTTTGCAGAGAACACCTTTCTGCGTAGGCGGCCTTCGGCCGCACTTAGAGATTATAACCCTCAGGCAGTAGAATTCTCCTTTCTGTGTTGCCAAAGAAGGGGGGCTGAACACCTTTTGCAGAGAACACCTTTCTACGTAGGCGGCCTTCGGCCGCACTTAGGGATTATAACCCTCAGGCAGTAGAATTCTCCTTTCTGTTTTGCGAAGAAAAGGAGCTGAATACCTTTTACAGAGAACACCTTTGTATATTTTTAATGCTTACAGGGTTATATCCTATTTTCTTTTGTCTCTCATTCTTTTGCATATTTTGGAGTTTGACAGCTGAACTACGCCATTTAATTTGCATATGCAACAAAAGTCAGACGCATGATTTAGAAGGTGTTTTTATTTAATAAATTGTGATTAATTGGTTAATATTAAAGTTATAAAGAAAGTTATAGCTCATCGAGTAAAGTGTAAAGTGAAGGAGAATATAAAAATATATTGCTGATGTAGCTGCTTTAAGGAGATTAGGAGTGATAAATTTACGCTAACTTCCGAATTTTACAAAAAAAGGGCATATTTCAAACCCAATTTGTAAATAAATTAGTGACCCAAAATTACAATAGTGGATGTTAAAATAATGGGTAGACCCTTGGCTACAAGTGTGTGCAATTTTTTTTTGAATCGGGTCACCCCTTTGGACGCAATACCCCGAAATAGGTGGGCCACTTACTAAACAGTACCCGATTATTTTCTTTAACTAGCTGTGTTATAATTTTACGCTGCCTGAATTTTATGAGAAGCTTTTCGATGGAAGAAATACTCTTGGAGGTTTGCCATTGCCTGCCGAGGGGTGACCGCTGTTATAAAAAAACTTTTTCTAATTTCAAATATTTCCCGGACCAGGGATCCAACCAAGGCCCTTTGGAGTAGTAGTACGCACCTCTAACCACTCAGCCATAGCGTCTGAAGTGGAAATAAGCTTTAGCTATCAATAAAAAAAAATGTAGTTTAGGTATGTATTTCTGCAAACTGCCATTACATGGGTGGTAGGCGTGGTTATTGTTCGATTTTGCCCATTTAAAACCCTTGGTCCTTAGCTCAAAAGAAATGCACGTCCCAAGTTTTGTTAAGATATCTCATTTTTTACTCGAGTTGTCGTGGACCTACGAAGGGACAGACGAAGAGACAAACATCACTAAATCGATTTCTATTTTCATTCTAAGTATTTTGGTATATATATGTCTCTATCTATCTCGATTCCTTTAGGCTGTCACAAAGAACTCCAAAAAAAGCAAAATAAATTTTGGAGGTTGCTAAATTTTTGGCCGTGCTTCTAATTTTGTAGTCAAAATCTTCCTGTTCTCACACACATGGAGAGAATTAAACCGTCGACTGATAGCTTGCTCAACCTCCCGGGGATTAGGTTCCGTAGAGTCCGAAGGACGTATATGAACCATACTTTCTTTCGAAGACATTGTAGTCCATTGTCAGTGCCTTTTACAATACAAAGATAAGAGAAAGAATGAAGGCATTCACCTCATGCATCATTTGCTTTCGCCATTGATAATGAGGTGGTCCAAGTATACCACCTCCGTTGTCCCTGTTAAACCGGTGCAACCGGTCCTCAATTGCTTCCCCCATTGCATTTTTTGAGGCTTTTTAGGGTCCTATAACAAATAGTTTTTAATAGAAAATGGTTAAATAAACAAAATTTCACATGCATTTTTGAACCACCCTAATTACTATAGTTCGAATTAATTTTATTCACCTACGCCTTGGCAAAAGTTGTCCATGGGCGCAGCACGTTCAAGTAAATGGTCACCTTTTTCGCAGAAATCCCAGTCAACTATTTATTTTCTTTATTGGACGGAGAATTATGGGAAACCAACCATGCGAGACAGCATTTTTTAGGGTGTATGTATGTTGGAGTATCACTTCGCTGAAATGTTCGCAAGGAATAGAAGCGAGAACAAAATGTGTCTCATAGCCTTCCATTAGTTTGAAATGTTTGAAAATTATAATTAATTAAAAAAGAACTGAAAGATAATTTTGCAAAATAAGTCAACGAAAGACTTAAGACACGAACTTTTCTTGCATAGAAAAATTTTTCCATAAATGGACAGTTCACCCCAATGATAAACGACCAGGAAATTGAGATGATCCAGTTTTCCTCTGGCTTATAATTAACACTGAAACGATTTTTAATCCCAACCCACAGACGCCACTCTCATTCATAACGTTAAGTTCTCAAAACTTTTTTCTCGTTTTATTCTCTACCAGAACGTTTCCCAGACTTTTGTTCTTATTTGATCCCCCTTGAAAAGGTTTCTTTCCCGAAATGTTTCCCAACCTTTTTCTCTCATTTTGTTCCCGTTCAAACTGTTCTCAATACTTTGGTTTCCGTTTCGCTCTTTTGTGGGAACGTTCTTGATGTTACATTTTGTTCTCGCGCAGAACTAAACCAAAACTGGGCAGGCGTTCTTGGTCCCCTGGGAAAAAAATGCAATAAAGTATTTTAAAAAACGTTAAGGTAAGACCAAACGTGAGTTTGTCACTGATTTTCATTTGTTTTACTTTTGATCTGAAAATATATTTTGTACTTATTTTACCTTGCTCTTTTCTAAATAAAAGCTGTATTGACTTTTAATAGTTTAATTGCAATTTTTAGTCACTGTATGAAAACTAAATAAAATAACACCGTTTATCCGGCTCTTTTCTTGATTTCAAAATCGTGAAGCAGTTTTTTTCAAATTGCAATTTTTCGAATAACGCGAAAATCGATTTTGGAAAAAAGTCGAATAATCGAACACACTAATAAGTACATGTTTTATTAATATGCTTAGTAATACTATATACTTATAATTTGTTTATTAACTTACAGAAGGCGACGCTTGTGTAGTGAAAGAGGGTGTCATTGGAAAATGTGCTCTACCCCGAAATTGTCCAGATCTCACAATGCAAATGCAAATTCACGGGCTTTCAAGAAAAGATGTAGTCCGATGTGGTTTCACAACGTATGATGAAATAATTTGCTGTCCCTTGAAAACGTCTACAAATGTGCTGGGAATTTTCAACACTACCGACAATTTCTTAAATGATAATAGGAATTCGAATGGCGTTAATAATACGCGAGGCGATTTTGGTGGACAGCAGCGAAAAGCACTAAAAGGCAGGCACATTTTAATTTAAAATATTCACTATTTTATCTGACATTTCATTAGTATATCTCTTTAATTTTTAGCTTGTCGCTTACTCGAGCAATATTTAGAGCCCTACACCGTGCCACTCGTCCTGGGCGGCGTACCGGTATCGCCGGGCGAATATCCACACATGGCTGCAATCGGCTATGCGTCGATCAATGCAGGTGGACCGCCCTATGAGATACGTTGTGGTGGCACGCTTATAGCTAAACGCTTTGTATTGACAGCAGCGCATTGTGTTAATCGTCGTGATAGCGTACCGGTTATTGTACGTTTGGGTGTTACCGATTTTAACGATGCCGATCAAATGAAAAATGCTGTAGATGTACCCATTGAGGTAGGAATGGGGTGTAGGAAGTATTTCTAAAGGGCAAATAATTATTCTTAAGTCTAATAACTCTAAACAGCTCGTACATATTCATAAGGATTACGATAGTCTGCAGAAGTACGATGACATTGCTATAATCGAGCTAAAAAACGAGATCGAATACTCATCTTTAGTATTTCCGGCTTGTCTGCATACAGAGGTGGCTGATCCGCCCGCAAGCGCAGCACTCAATGTTACCGGCTGGGGCACCACTAACTTGAAAAGTAGTCACGCATTAAAGAAATTACTTTCCTTCTGCTAATACTTAATAATTTAATTGTATTTTCCTTGTCATACATACATATGTAGCTCGCACGAAATCCGATGTCTTGCTGACGGCGCGCGTCAAAATCACTTCAGTCGCAGATTGTAACGCGTCCTATGCGCGCGAAGGCCTCTTACCAAGTCGCGGCATATTGGATTCACAAATGTGCACACACGATCCGAATTCGATCAGCGACGCCTGTTGGGGTGACTCCGGCGGTCCGCTTAATCTCATCCTTGACGAAAAATATCGGCGAGTACATGTCATCGGTATTGTGTCGGCTGGTAGTGGCTGCGCCAGCGTAACTCCAAGTCTTTATACGCGTGTTGCTGCGTATTTGGATTTTATTGAGGGCATCGTGTGGAAGGATTTATGAACAGTTTGTGTAGTTTTGTTAAATGCATTTACATTTTCTTACATTACTTTTTACTCATTATCCTAACTAAATATGTAAGTATGTTTTAGACATCTGTTGTCTGTTGTTTTAAGATGAAATAAATAAGAATTGTTAAATACCTATTTTTAGCACAATTTTCCCTTGTTATGTATTTATGCATTTAGTAGTATCAGACAGAAGTATAGGAACATTAATAAAGCCACTTGGCTGTCATCAAAGAACCAAGCACCAAATTGATCACATTGTGAAAGACGGAAGACGCGGCTCGGGTTACTTACTACCTTGTTGCAGCTACATATATACCCGGTGCGGATATCAAATATCGTCGTTTGAACTTTCTCTAAACTACATTTGTATGATAAGCAGGGGGGTGTTCCCGATTTCCGAGAGTTAATGAAATAATTGAACCAAGTTTGGCAGGAATCTACCGAGATACACCTTTTAGTCATAGAGTGGGCGGTGCCACGCCCGATACCTATAAGTCCATAGCAGTCTTATTTATTGTTAACAGATTGTTGTAACTATTAACTTGAAGTAAATTAGCGTCCTCAGTTATTGAAATATCGGAATTTTCCGATGTCTGAAATTTACCGTTATACGGGAAGTGGGTGTAAATTTTGTCTGATTTAAATAATTTTCAGCGAGTTTCTTCCTTGTATTAAGATTATTAAGTGCACCGAGTTTGGTAGAAATTGATGAATCGGTTACCGAGATACACATTTGCGGTCATAAGGGGGCGGCGCCACGCCCCAAAGAATAAAAGTTTTTGCTGGGATGTTCTCATTTTTAATGGGAAATAGAAAAATGTGCATAATTTTTCAATCATTTTAATTTACAGAAGAAACATTTATTTTAAGTACATACGTGGTATTTCTTTCTCAAATGCAATTAATAAAAAAAAATGCATTAGAGTACTTATACAGCAAATTTCTTCAAACAGGTACTTGAGATTTCATTGTGAATTCATTATTTAGCCTGATCCATAGTATTGTGCATTGTATGAGAATCCTTCCGTCTGCGTTGCTTCCAAAACAATAGAGATAAAGCGTTGACCAATGCCACCAGCCACTACATAAGCATTGCCTTCATTATTATCCTGGTTGCAAACGATTTCCACATAAGTAACGATGCTGCCAGCGCCCGATTGAGGGTAGGTCAGTTGAATGGTTACATCCTTCGCGACCTGATAAGTGAAAACATCGGCAGCCTGTGCAACCAAGCGATCACCTGAAATGTAGGAAAAGAAAATTTAGATAACACGACTGAAAATTTCTGAAGACAATGATTTTCGATACAGTGCTTATCATTATTACACGGCACCCACATATGTATGTATTGAAGTTTTAACTAATCGTTTTTTGTTATTCAATTTTCATTGTTTTTTTTATAAAAATATAGCTCTTTCTATAGTTACGAGAAGCACCTTAGTTTTATTTTTTTTTTAATTATAGATATGGAAGTATGTACATATATACCATAGAAATTGCCCTTAAAGTTCTGACAATTTCGGGTTAATTTTCTTTATTTGATAATTGTTTTATCGACTATAATTTTCAGCTCAACCCTTATTATTTTTTTAAATAAATATGAACCAATCAATATTTGCAAAAAAAATCTCATTCGCTTTATTTAGTCAAAAGGCTCTTTTTATATCCAAGAATTTGATTTTTACATTATTACACTTCAATTCGGGTGGCCTTCAACCTTAATCTACATGATGAACTTGAAAAAAATAAATAAAAATTTAATGTCGGGATGGGCGTGCTCGATTTCAGATCGATTTAGAGCTTTGAAGTAGCGAATTCGACGAGCTGTAGAAATCTTTTTGCAGGAAGGCTTTCATACACCGCCCTTATAGATATACCAGCGGTTATTGGAGCTAAAAGCAGGATTTAGCTTCTAATTGATTGGGTATTAATATAGTGCCCATTCCAATCATCATACCAAATTGCGATTAAAGGCAGGTTTTAACATGTAGGCTGTCTGTCGTCTGTGAACGTCTCTTTAGCCTTATTTTACCACGCACATTGGCCGCTTTATATGATTTAGGCTGCCAAAAGTAAATTTTTCAGAGTTAACTTACAACAAAACAAATGTATTGTCTGATAAGCAGGAATCCCGACAAACAATACCCACCACTCCCCGGCTCCTAGCACTGCGCGCGCGCACCTTACTGTACACTTTTTCATTATCGGAGCTTAGAGCGAAACAAACCAAACGTCTTGCTCGAGTGGAGGGACATCAGCATTGTCCCTAAACATAGTTCTGCATTCTCCTTCATTTTACGCACTCTGTATGTACATCGAAGAGCAGTATCATCTTTAGTCAATCAGCTTTGAAAGCAAAGGCATGTAGCATGAGCGATATAGCGGGTATAATATTGCACGATTTTATCAACTAGACTTGGCTCTGTATGGTATCAAAATGGGCCAATAGAGGACTTAAGTGTTCTGGTGGGGCCTGCCAGTTGCGACTTCATCTTAACTTAACCAGTACTGATTCGGTTTGCTGCCTTGAAAAAGTTTTTGACCAACCTTCTCGTAAAGCTTCGGCCCATCCGTGTAAAACTTTACCGGAGCTTCCTTCCAACCACTGCCCCCTGTCCACTCATCTCTTAATGTTATTAGGGATGAAATCGTAGTTTCGAGGATAGTCGTGTGTCCAGACCCCGAGTCAGTCTGGTTACTATTGCCGAAGCTGATTTACCGGCGATGTCAACGGGCTTTGTGGTAAGCAAAATGTTAAGGGTCAGGTTGGGTGTAGTCCTAAGTGCCTCACTGATTGCAATGAGGCCAGCTCGTTGCGTTCGCTGCAACCTACGGACTTATGTAGCATTCAGTGCATTCCTCTAGACTGCATAAAACATAATGGGAAGGGGCACCATATTGCGGCGTGCCCCCGTTAACACTGCCCTGGACGATGGTACCACACCACTCCGCTGCGACAACTCTGTCACTGATCATGC